TCAGTCTTCTGGAAGACCTTTCTGTCTCTAAGCAACCAGCTAACAAAAAATACCTTCAACACGCATTATATACAACATCTACTAAATCCCTGTGTTCTACTGGAAAAATTATAAGTTTGGCAAGGATTTGTTCTGTGAAGGAAATTAGCAACTCCTGTATTAGTAGGAAAATTACATTTCTTGTAATTAGGATCCTCTGAAGACATGCATCATGTCTGATTTTAGGCATTTTTCTCTTTTCTCTCTTCTGTTTGTAATCTAAAGGTGGTTTGATTCCCCCCACCTTAAACCTGCCAGTTTGCAACCTGAAGACGGTTTGAAAGTCATGGAATCAGACCCTTCCAAAACATCTGAACTATTTCCACACACACCAATGCCACATAACTGCAATGGCAGCTTGATTCAAGTCTGGTAGGGTGAATCAAATCATGAAACAAACAAAATTCAAAGCTCATCCTGCTCTAACATTGCTGAAAGACATCATGCAAATCTTCTTGTCCTGTAGCTCTTTGCGTTGAAGATCCAGGTAAACCTCGCAAGAATCTGTAAGATGCTCACATGTAGGACAAAACAATGAGGCCAACAAAACTATTTCCTATTAAAAACACCTTTCCGGATTTCCGGAATTTAACGATGAAAAACATCACTACTGGGTAATTCAGAGGAAGAAAGATAAAAATCGAACCCCACTTTTTTTCTAAAGCACAGTCTTTTCCAAGAAAAAAAAAAAACTTTTTTATTTCTTCAAGATGAAAGTGAAATTGTATAAGTGTGACAACTCCAAAACCTCTCATGCAGGTGCACTTGCAACATTTGGAAGCATAATGTTCTAATCGATTTTAGAAACATTCTAAGGAAGAGCTTCTGTGAGTTTTGAACCCATTTGTTGCACATACAAAACCAGAAAAATATGTGATTGGTTTGCAAGTTTTGACAACAGAGTATTTGGATATTTACTGCTGAATTTCAGCAAAGAACTTTGCAGATGTGATAGTGGGAACGGCATTCAAACTAGTATCAAAAGAAACTGAATGTGGAGCCAGACTTTGGAATAACTGTGCCACAAATTGATAAACCCAGAGTCTAAGAAAGTAATGAAGCATATGCAATCACATTTCTCTCACTTGAAAAACTACTGATATTTTTAATTAGAAGAGAAAAAGAGTTTGTACAAATACTAAAGTAAAATAATTTTTTAATATTGTCTATTTAATCTTGAATTATTAAATTCTAATTTTGATATGTTTTATAATAATCAGTATCTGGACATAACATGCACATAACACATACATTAGTATATATATGAAATACATAAACAAATATACATATGTCTGAGGTGAATGGTTGCAAAGTTTTACTTCTACAGGTGCGTAATGAAAACAGTTTTATCACTGCCCTAGGAAATCATAGATTACCTTCAGCATTGGGAAATGCAGACTACCCAAAGAAACAACCTTGAAAACATCTCAAAATTTCTCATTTGGTCATTGCCTACAGCTTCTAACTGTGCTACTGATAGCTACCTGTGTCACTGCATTTCTGAAGAGTCTTTGTGTGTTTCCTTCTGTATTCTGGGCTACAGATAAAGCATAAGTCCCAAAGTTTTTCAATGAACTCAAGCCCCTCCACTCACCTGTTTCTTTCCAGATGTGGAAATTCAGTTCTTTTAGCAAGTATAATAGAATTTTAAAGGTATGCATATTCCATATGGGAGCAAAACCGACTCAACTAATAGTTGTGCCATTGCTCCGATACGCAATATTGTATATTGCCAGATCCTATATTCCTTAGGCAATTCCTGCCCTTTTTCAAGACACTTGTGAAAAACAGGCAAATTAACTACCCTGGTAAAATGATTTTCCTTTTATCTGTGTTTATCTTCCCACATATTTTTGTCCTCCTTTGGAGCAATCTGAGCAAGCACACAATGATCAGTACAATGCTTAAAAATATCAACACACAAAAACAACAGTGTGAAATTTATCCTCTTTGCACCAATTTGAATATACCTGATATAGCAAAGGAGCTACCCTTAAATAAGGAGATGTCATGGAAAGTATTTGCCATAAACCATGAAGCCATAGCAGCGCAAGACAGGGAGAGATTAAGGCACCAGGTATAAAAAAAAAATCTAGACACGTAAAGCAGGACAAAAGTCACTGGAGTGCAAACCCACATTTGTAAACACCACAGTTCACCTACTCCATAACCCTTCCAGTGCAAAACCCATCACCATTGCAATGCAAACTGTTTGGCCAAGCTGAACACTATGCAATTGAATCTTGACCCAATTTGCATGCTTAGACAAATCAGCTGAGACATCAACCTCCAAAACAACATGTAAAGCAGCAGAAATATTGAATGACATTAGGATACTTCTGCCCCTGAGATAAATAGGTGAGCACTGCCCATAACAGCTCCTTGGGATTGGCAGTGCCAGATCTGAGGCTTTCAGGAGCCCAGAGGAAGCTGAGTAATAATTGCAAGCTCTTCAGTTGCAATGGTGACATCATTTGCTCTCCTTTGTCTATCAGTTGGTATAATTGAATCCCTGGCAGGAATTCTAGGAAATGGAATTATCTTGGCTGCCAGTTCATCGAGCTGCATTGGGAGCAAAACATGGCCTCCATATGACATGATCATGATCTCTCTGACTTCATCTAAATTCATTTTGCAGTCATGGAATATACTGGATTACTTAATGAATATATTTTATGAACCCTTCTTTCGTACAGAAAACCTGCTAATAGTTTCCAAGACAATTTTTACATTTCTGAGCTACTCCAGCCTCTGGTTTGGAGCCTGGCTTAGTGTCTTCTATTGTATCAAGGTTGCCAGTTTTACACAGTCTTTCTTCATCTGGCTGAAGCTAAGAATTGCCAGGCTGGTGCCCTGGATGCTGCTCACATCATGGCTCTGCTCCTTCATAACTGCAATTCCCTTTGCCTGGGATATCTACAGTGTGCATGAGAACATCACTGCTCCTTCATCCATGACCAACTCTTCATCAATGAGAGCCACAAGGAAAGACGGTTTGGGTTTGATAATTCTTCTCAGTAATGCCGGTATAGTTATGCCTTTAATACTGTCTGTTGTTTCCAGTGTTCTGCTGATTTGGTCTCTGTGGATACACACCAGACAGATGCAAAATAATGCGAGTGGCTTCAGGGATCCCAGCTTAGAGGCCCACAGGAAAGCCATCAAGTCAGTCTGTTCCTTCCTTATCCTTTACATCATATATTTTATTTGTGTGCTTCTCCTCTTATTTAGCATTTTTTCACCTTTAAGCAATGGAGAATTGATCTGTGTCATTATAATGGCTGCCTGCCCTACAGGACATTCCATAGTCTTAATTTGGAGCAATCCCAAATTTCAAGATCTGCCAGCTAGGATGTGGCACCTCATTAACTGTTCTGTCAGAACTGCATTGATGTAAAAGACAGTGGCTTAGCCTGGACTTTCTAGTTTAGATCCAAAAGAATAAAAAAAAAAATCATCAGAGTTATAAATAATAGATGCTGGAATGTGTAGATCAGGGCCTTGATCACCAGTAAATGGAAAGGTGAGAATTTGCTTTACTTGGATGTGGGTCCCGTGAAGAATAATTGTGCATGTTCTCTATCTGCTGTACTTTCCTTGGAAATCACCAGTTTCCCTAGCACAGCAGTAAAACAGGGCCAGGATTGACTGGAATGTAATCTCTTGGAATGCTAGAAGTTACAATACCTGATACAAATAGAATAGACCTGTTTAAGCACAGGCATGGTCACATTCTCTGAACATAAGGCTTGAATGCGATTTCTGGTTACTAAAACCTCCTAATGAGGATTCTTAGGAATTCCCAATATTTTCAGAATATCTCACTGATCATTTTCAATTCTGGTTGAACTCTAGAGAAACATTTGATAATTCTGAAGATGTCCATAACATTCCAGCATGGTTCAGGAAAGAATGACATGGCCTTTTGAGATTCCTGCTCTTGCTGAAATAGTGATCTGTGTCACTGCATTATTGTTACATCAGAACTGGAGCTTTATGACCCTTTCCAGCTGCAGTGGGAGTTTACATACTTCTAAAGAAACTGGTTAAAGAAACATACATGACTGGAGCCTTATGTTCACTAAGCCCATCCTGATTCAATGTGTCTGGTTTGGATGTTGTCAATCTCTTTGAAGCAATGTATCTGTAACTGATCTGAGTCTGTGCCTGAATTGCTTTATTTTACAAATTAAAAAATACCAAGTCAAAGGATAACTTGAGATGGAGTCTTCCTTTCCCTCATGACAGAAACTGTGCCACAGGTGACAGCACTGGCATCCATGAATATTTTTATGCCATTTAACAGACATGCAGAAAGTTGAGCACATTAAAGACCTGCATCTTCTTAGATGTGGAAAGTGTTTGAATTCATTTCTTTTAGAATATATAACAGAATTTCAAAAACATGCATATTCCATATGGGGGCAAAATTGGGCCTCAGTTAACACTTGTGCCATTGCCCCTATGTATAATGTATATTCCCAGATCTCAAATTCGTTAGGCAAATTCCACATCTATTCTGGAGGCTGGTGAAAAATGGACCAGTGAGGAACTCTGTAAAATTATTTTCCTTTTCTCTGTTCTGATCTTCTCACAGAAATGTATTGTTCTCCATTGGGACACTCAGAGGAAGCATGCAAGGATAATTATGATGCTTAAAACTTTCCAGAGGCAGAAGAAGAACATTGTAGTCCTCACTGCAGCAGTAACTTGAAAATATCTGATAAAGAGAAGAGCTATGCAACTATTACAAGAGGCCATGGCAACTATGTCTCAGAAACCCTGAAGAAAAAACTGTGCAAAAAAGGGAGACATTAAGGCATCACATATAAAATACAAATCTCAACATGTAAAGAGGTACACCAGACACTGGAGTGCAAATCCACATTTGTAAACACCACAGTTCACCTACTCCATAACCCTTCCAGTGCAAATCCTTCCAGAAAAATGAAAACTATGCAATTGAATCTTGACCCAATTTGCATGCTTAGGCAAATCAGCTGAGACATCAACACCCAAAATAACATGTAAAGCAGCAGAAATATTAAATGACATTAGGATACTTCTGCCCCTGAGATAAATAGGTGAGCACTGCCCATAACAGCTCCTTGGGATTGGCAGTGCCAGATCTGAGGCTTTCAGGAGCCCAGAGGAAGCTGAGTAATAATTGCAAGCTCTTGAATTAGAATGATGACATCATTTGCTCTCCTTTTTCTATCAATTGCTATAATTGAATCCTTGGCAGGAATTCTAGGAAATGGAATTATCTTGGCTACCATTTCATCAAGCTGCATTGGGAGCATAATATGGCCCCCATATGACATGATTGTGATGTCCCTGACTTCATCTAGAATTACATTGCAATGCTGGATTATACTCGATTTATTCTTAACTATATTTTGTGAACCCTCCAATTATGAAGAAAATATATTTGGTTTTATCAAGACAGGCTACATGTTTCTGAACTACTCCAGCCTCTGGTTTGGAGCCTGGCTTAGTGTCTTCTATTGTATCAAGGTTGCCAGTTTTACACAGTCTTTCTTCATCTGGCTGAAGCTAAGAATTGCCAGGCTGGTGCCCTGGATGCTGCTCACATCATGGCTCTGCTCCTTCATAACTGCAATTCCCTTTGCCTGGGATATCTACAGTGTGCATGAGAACATCACTGCTCCTTCATCCATGACCAACTCTTCATCAATGAGAGCCACAAGGAAAGACGGTTTGGGTTTGATAATTCTTCTCAGTAATGCCGGTATAGTTATGCCTTTAATACTGTCTGTTGTTTCCAGTGTTCTGCTGATTTGGTCTCTGTGGATACACACCAGACAGATGCAAAATAATGCGAGTGGCTTCAGGGATCCCAGCTTAGAGGCCCACAGGAAAGCCATCAAGTCAGTCTTCTCCTTACTTATGTTTTATGTTACATATTTCATAGCTTTCACTTTTCTTTTATACAATATTTTTTTACCTTTTAGCATTCCAAAATCTATATGTATAGCTGTAATGGCTGCCTGTCCTACAGGACACTCCATAGTCTTAATTTGGAGCAATCCCAAATTTCAAGAGCTGCCAGCTAGGATTTGGCACCACACTAACTGTTCTGTCAGAACTGCAACCATGTAAAAGATCATGATTTATCGTGGACTTTCTAGTTGAGTTCTAAGTGGACTTTTATAAATCTTAAGAGTTATAAAGTAATAGAAACAGAAATGGGTAGATTAGATCACTAATCTCGAATTATGAAGATAGTAAGAATTGTCTCCTATATACTCTTTTTTCCTTGAAAATCACAGTTTCTCTAAGACAGGAGAAAAACAAGACCAAGATTCAGACTAGAATGTAATCTCTCCTGAAATGCTTAAAGTTACTAATTAATGATACAAACAGATGAGATGTCCTTGATCACAAGCATGTTCATATTTAATTTGAGAATGTGATTCTTGAATGCTGTTTCTGGTTAATACAAGCTCCTAATGACAATGCTGAGGAACTCCCAATAAGATGGGGATGTTTTACTCATAATTTTTGACTACTGCTGAATTGTAGAAAAAAAGTTGTTGACTCTAAATTGTCTTTAAAATTCCAGTATGGTTCAGTATAAAATGACACAGCCTTTTGAGCTTCCTTGCTCTTGGTGAAGTAGTGACCAGTGTCTGCGTTCCCAGTGAAATGATGCATTGGAGGACTCACCAAAATCCTGTGATCACAGCCAATAGGAAAAGTCTCACTGCATTATTGTTACATCAGAACTGGAGCTTCATGACCCTTTTCAGCTGCAGTGGGATCTAATCTATTTCTAAAGTAACTGTCACAGAAACATACATGACTGGAGCCTTGTGTTCACTAAGCCCTAATCCTAATTCAATGTGTCTGGTTTGGATGTTGTCAATCTGTTTATAGCAATGTATCTGTAACTGATCTGAGTCTGTGCCTGAATTGCTTTATTTTACAAATTAAAAAAGTACCAAGTCAAGGGATAATTTTTGTTGGAGTCTTCCTTTCCCTCATGACAGAAACTGTGCCACAGGTGACAGCACTGGCATTCATGAACATTTTTTATGCCATTTAACAGACATGCAGAAAGTTGAGCACACGGCAATGACACCCAGATGTGCCATTGTCAGCACCAGGCACTGTCACCATGCTGGGTCCCAGCCCAGCACCATGAGACGCCCGTGTTGGGAGGGTTGGTGCATGCTCTGCCCTTCCCTGCTCTCCCCTCACCGGCCTTCAGGAACAAACCTCAGAGCTCTCTGCCCACACCAACGAGCAAAACACGTGGGCTGTGCTCAGCCCACAATCCGTGCGTGCTGTCCAGCTCCTGGCTGAGCTCTGAGGCACACGGCTGCTCAGCAGGGACACCCTGAACAGCTGCTCTCACACAATTTGGTTTGTGTTCCCTTATTCCACATTGCTCATGCACATGGGATTCAAAAGCGGTCCCTGTGGGTTTTTTTCCAGCTTCTTTATATCTTCCCTCCATAGATTCCTTTCCATAAAATGAAATTAAATAATTTCCAATTCATTCACATGAATTTGGGATTCTAAGAGGGAAAGCCAACAGAAGTATTGGAAGGCACCTCATAGGTTCAGTCTTGCGGAAGACCTTTCTGTCTGTAAGTGGCCAGCTAACCAACTATGGCCGTATGAATAAAAATACCTTCAACATGCATTATATACACCATCTAATAATCCCTGTGTCCCATTGGAAAAATTGTAAGACAAGTTTGATAAGGCTTTATTATCGGAAGGAATATAGCAACTCCTGTATTAGTAGGAAAATTACATTTCTTGGGATTAGGATCCTCTGAAAACATGCATCATGTCTGAGAGCAGGCATATTCTCTTTTTTCTCTTCTGTTTGTAATCTAAAGGTGATTTGTACCCCACCTTAAACCTGCCAGTTTGCAACCTGAAGACGGTTTGAAAGTCATGGAATCAGACCCTTCCAAAACATCTGAACTATTTCCACACACACCAATGCCACATAACTGCAATGGCAGCTTGATTCAAGTCTGGTAGGGTGAATCAAATCATGAAACAAACAAAATTCAAAGCTCATCCTGCTCTAACATTGCTGAAAGACATCATGCAAATCATCTTGTCCTGTACCTCTTTCTATTGAGCATCCAGGAAAAAGCTCAAAAGATTTTCTAGGAAACTGTTCACATGTAGCATAAAGCAGTGAGGCCAGCATTTGAAACAAAGCCTTTTTCTTTTAAAAACACTTTTCTGTATTACTGTAATTTAAAAATGAAAAAAGTAATCAGTGAGCAATTCAATGAAAGAGAGTAGTTCCCATTTCTTTTCTAAAGCACAGCCTTTTCCAAGTGAAAAAACAGTAATTTGATTAGAGTCCTTAGCTCAAGGCAAGAAATGCAAACATCTACATGAGAG